TTTTGTTTTTGTTTTTGTTTTTTTTTTTGTTTTTTTACTATCATTCTTAAAAATTATCTAATAGACGTTGAATACACTTCAAGAATTCACGTCCATAAAGACAATATAATATATATAATTATATATATATATTTTTTTCAACAACCAACGATCAAGGACATGAATCCTATGCAATCTTTTCTAAGAGCACTATCTACTGTATATTATAACAGTTATTTTAATTACAAGATTTTTTTCACCATTTATAACATTATAAACTCTCTGTGTTCAATATGATAAAACTTAAACACTCTTATCCAGAGCCTTTGTAATCTGAAAAGATAATAATAGCATAACACACAATTTTGCATCATAACATACATCTAACTATATATGAAAAAAAAAAGAAAAAAAAAAAAATAAATTAAAAATTCTATAAAAGACTGACATTAATTAGAGACTGATTGCCTGGAAGAGGCTGCGTGCATGGCAAAATCGACAAGTGGATTATTTGGGACGGTAACAATGGAGTGTGAAGTACTACTGCTTAAAGTAACATTAGCAGAAGAAACTAATGATAATGGTTTACAAGATAATTGATCAATTTGTTTTATAGGTACCAATTTAATTGGTACATCTGTTTTTAACCTGACAGCTTCCGATACTGGTATAGCTTTTAATTGAACACTCTTTAATGGTTGTATTTTAACTGCTGGTTTTACAGTAGCACTTGCATTTTGAATAATTTTGGTAATTTTACTCTCACCAACTCCTTGGTTGGAAGATTCGTCATAGCCAGAATCTGACGATGAATCACTAAATGTTTTACTTGCTTGTTTAGAGACCATTGTTTCTGTATTAGACTCTACACTATGAGCAGGACTAGCAGATGCAGAACTGTGAACAGGGCTAGCAGATGCAGAACTATGCACAGGACTGCAACTTAATGCATTTGTTTGTTGTTGTCGTTGTTGTCTAGCTATACAACCAATACAAGGTTTTATCAATGAAGGATCCACTATTACTTCTCCATATCGACCTTTAAATATTGTTCCACAACAAATAATCTCCCTAAAATTATATATACATTTTAAAAACAACAAAACATCAAATTACATTTATAAATTATTATAAACTTTATAATCACTCATAAAAATTAATAATAAGATTAACCTTTTAAAATATGTTAAATCAATAAAACCATTGACAGTTAAGTCATCCTTTGATTCTGGATCATCTTGCATATCTAATTGTTTTTCAGTTACTGGAATATCATCACTACCTACAGGACTACCAGCTCGACTTGAACCTTTACTACCATCTCCATTCAAATAATCTTCTAGAAAAAAAAA